GTTCTCCTCCCCCTGATCTCCCCTGGCCAGCTGCGCTGCCCCGACCTCTCTCCCCCAGCCAGCCATGCTGCCCCCCCACCTCCCATCAAGTGAGTCCAGTATTTTTTCTAAACGTACCTGGTAACCCTACCAGAGAGGGTGGCTCCATGCCCCTGGAAGGGTTGAAGTCTCAGATACAAGGGGAGGGGGTGAGACTGACCTCCCCCAGGCAGCCCTCAGTGCTGACCAAAGCTCATTGCGTGGGACTCTGGGGGTCATTTGGAGGGCCCTAGGGCAATTGTCCCTTAAGCCTGCTAAAAGGCAGGGGCAAACAGCACTGCTTCCCCTTCCTGAAGCTGTGTGAATTTCTGTTCCTTCAGAAAAATGCTACTACCTGGCAATATTTAATCATCACATAGATCTGATACAATTTCTAGAGTATTCAGACAAACAGTACTGTACAGTTACAGACTCACCCTGGTATTTGTCCCCTAACTGCATGCATTGAATCACTTCCCTTTATAATGTCTGCAGAACCAGCTACAGGAAGAGTGAACAGCTGTCAGTACTAGCCCCTGCTATTCTTTGGCACTGAATGCTTGCTCTTCTTATTTTTGTCTGAAGCATTCAAGGAAAACTGTATGGTAAGAGCCTACCTGAATAAGCATCAAAAGGGAATAATAATCCTGTTCCATGCTGAGTTTATATAGTATCATCTTCTAGCTCTGGCTGGAATTGAACTTACAAAGTCCAGGGATTTGTGCAAGTTGCTCCGAAAGCTACTATGACAGCCTCTTCTCTAATATTTGTTTCACTACCACAGGATCTGCTCGCCCTCCTGTTGTTCTTTGAACCAGTCCAATCAGTTTATTCAGAACTTTTCGGTTTCCTTTCTTTATCTCCATAACCTTGAAAACAAGAGCACAAAGTATTTATCATGAATAATGGTAGATATTCACTTTTCCCTCTAAACAGATTAAACATTTTCTGACTTTAGTACCATCTTCATTTAGGCCCAAAATTCAGTATTAAAACAAGTCTTGGAGCTCAATTCTGCAAGAGCTGTTTGTAGCTGGAGCCCGACAACTGCTAGGAGATCCCTGGGCTGAGCAGGATCAGGGCTTTAGTCCTAACAGAATTCTCGATTTCAAGACTATTTTTAATTCCAATGAAAACAACTTTTTAAAAAGAAAGCCTCCCCTGCAACATTATCTGAAAGAACAACTAGTCTACTTTTCCTAATTATATGATATGCAAAGAATAAGATGGCAACCACTATGCAGATTTTAAAGTGTTGAGCATTGAGCTCCACAATATTTGCTTATGTAGCTGGGATGAATTATTCTCTGCATTGTGTGAATTTGTTGGGTGAGTTCCTATAGCCTCAGTGATGCATGTTGTCAGACCAGATAGCAGTCCTGCAGGCCTACCGACACAGGCTGGGGGGGGAGGGGGCAACCGTCCCAGGACCTGGTAATTCAGAATAGCCAAAGGGCTTTTAGCTGTTGCAGTGGAAGCCAGAGCCCTGGTCCCTTTAAATCATTGCCAGACCCCCCAGGAGGCATACTCTGGATGGCAGAGGAGGGGGCCACTTTCGCCCAAGACCCCACTCCTTCCAGGAGTATGGAGCTGTCTCCAATCACCTTGCCACAGGCTCAAGGAGTCTGTTGGTTTGCCAGCAATCCTTTCTGGCCTTAAACTCATTAATACATGAACTATCAACTGCATGCACAATTGCAAATATGTCCACCTCTTACTGCCTCTAAACTTTAGCCCATCATAAATCTAACCTGTAGTGTGCCATCAATAGATAGGGAACATAGCTACCCTGGCATGCTTGTAATTAGCTAAATTAGAAATTTAAATAAAGTGTTAAGTATTGAATTCATTCATAAATTGCTCAATATTTTAGTGTTAGTTTCCCTTTTAAAAAATAAACTACTCTTAAAAAGCAGGGCCTATTGCAAGAGAAAATGCCTAACTAACTCATCTGAAATATAAGAACTAATGGTAATTTAAAGGACAGGCCTACAAGCTTTATAAGTGTCTCTTCTTTACTAAAAGAATCACCTGAAAGCAGCTGGAAAATAAGGCTGCTTTATCACAGCTGGCTTTGCTAAAACACTGGAAGCTGAGGGAGGAATTAAATTCTTACAAAATGATTTTTATTATTGAAACAGGAATCTGGTTATGGGCCTTCAGCTTCTGTGCTGAAGAGTTCCAGCTCTCTGTCCTTATGCTTTAGTACTAGTCTGAAAATGAAGAAACACTTTTATTAGCCACTGCAAATGAGTCAGTGTAAGGGAGGTCATGCAGATCTACTGCAAGTTCATTTTCTTTATGAAAAGCTCTTTGCAAAGCTATTAGTGTCTTCCAGTGAGACTTGGGCGTGGGTGGTATTGTTCTCAAAAGATATTAGCTTTTTTTCCCCCCCAATAGCAAATGTAACTAGACAATGTTTATACTTAAAAT